AACGAAGTTCCCTACAAACAAATTAGGCTTGCAATGAGTAGAATCAACACGAAGCTGCCTTAGAAAAAGCACCCCACTTCCCACTTCTCACTTCGATATCATCATCTTCCATAATCCTCATAACATAAAAATTCTCAACAAATCGCCCGATAAACGACCAAACGAAAGAGAATACTCGATGTGCAAACTACAACGGATAAACCATATCAATTGGCAAAAACTTATGAGGCTTCTTTCCAAAATACTTCTCACGTTCCCATGGTTCAGAGCCTTAAGACTCATTCTTTGTTATCTTCTCGAAAAGCCTCACAAACTAACAAACAATGAATGTGGCGGACGGAAAAAAACTAACGAAGAACATAAAAATACAATGTCTAAACTCTAGACTTAGTTATATAAAAGAAAAAATAAAAAAATTATGGATGTGGCAATTAGGGCTTATCAAAACCGACTAATGAACATGGGCTACAAAAATATTTTGGTCCAAACRCAATTAMTGTTTATGAAGGATATAAGGCTCACGAAATTTCGATGGCATGAGGTGTAATTACCTTAATTTTATTAGGGGTACCCTGTAATCAACCACCCTCAGATTCATTCTGAGGACGCCACGTAGGATTTCGCACTTCATATATAATTATATAGATGTTATCGATGTAACGGATATCATTCATGGTAATAAAGTTTTTTTTGTCTCTTTCGGTTATGGCGAATATGTTTTTTCAAGAACAGACGACTTAAATCATTGACATGAGAACGCTTAACTCGTATTAATAGGTTTCTTAAATCATCGACCACCATAAGAAAACTTGGCGGGATTGAGTCGTTTTTAGAATTTCATTTTATGAGACAAGACTTGTGGTATGATTGATTTCCCTACACTTGGAAATGTCTTTCATAGGTGGGGTGAAGGGGTAAACTGTAAACCGGTGTAGACCAGATAGATCGATGGAAAATGAGGAATAACACGCATAATTTACAAATACTAAAGCCGAATAACTTCGGTTTATGAGTTCGGATCACTGATCCGTATTAGACCCAGATGAGAGATGAAATAATTTTCAGATTTCCGTTTGAATTAGGGAGA